ACTGATTTTCATCTCTTTTTTGATCCTAACAGATTTCCATCTCTTTTTGTGGGGGAAGAAATACAAGCCTTGCAGAAGTACCTAGGGACTGATGTCAAGTTATCGGGCGCCGTCGATGCTTAACGACTAGCACTAGAGTTTGAGATTTCGAGAAGAAATTTACAAAAGCTTTGAATTAGACCAGAAATATTTGTCAGCAAACGAGCCAGACAAATAATGGCCGTCACTGAAAAATTTTTGGGAAACGACTTCGATTAAAAGCGCATATATTAAGGGGGCGCAGGCCACCATTTCTTAAATTGCATAAATTTCGCAGTTTTACTAATTTTCGAAATTTTTTCAAATGCAATTTTCATTAATAACATTTAAAATTGAGCTATTTTCTCAATTTATTTGATGCATCAATCTATAAGTTAAGAAACCTGTCCCCGCAGCTTTGTCAGCTAACGCGGACAATGTCAAACAAATCGCAAAAAGTAATATTCTAGATAGCAAGAGGTTCACGCTGTCAATCGCAGTCAAGAATACTTTGATTTAGACTACTTCGTGATCAGTCATATTTGCATGAAGAATCAAAGAAAATTTCAATCGACCTATAAGATAAGATTCTAATCCGTGATTAGCCTTTTACATCAGCATCAAACATGGAATCTCATAATTTCGATTCGCGGAGTGCATAGGTGAAGTAGCTAAAAGGCACGTAAAACCACGGAATTTCAAAAATGCTTGTCCTGAATTTCTGGATGATATCAGGCTGAAGGCCAAATTGAGAAGAAAATATTTTATTCTTCAAATATTGGTCGTCATCAGTTACAGTACAATTGTATTTAGGTCGTGGATGAGACACATTTCTCCAAAAATGAGGTGCGAGCAATTTACAGAGCTTTCAAGGAAACATCCCCCAATGCTGTTATAAATAAAAGTAAGATTCCAATTTTAGATAGGAATATGTAGCGCATATACAAAGATGAATATATTCTTTATCATTAGACTGTTGTAAAATTCTGGCTTTATTCATTGCAGGTATACTCAGAGAGAAATTCGCTGAACTTTTTCCTCATGGCGAAATAGAACATTATTCTGATCTCTTATTTGACTCATTCGACAACGATGGAAATGGAACGATTAATTTCCAAGTATGTGCTACTTACTTGTTTTCTTTAGTGCAATTTTGGAGTTATAGCATCTGCACATTATTATTTGAGTAATACAGGAGTTCGTTAAAGCCCTGTCTGTCCTTTGTCGAGGCACTATGGACGAGAAACTTGACTGGTTATATAAGTTGTATGATCCGAAAGGAAAAGGCGAGATAACATGGCATCGAGTATTTTATGTCATTACTTCTATGGACGATCTTATGGGTTGGTACAAATTTTTTGAACCTGCATAATTCTGAAAGTTTGTAATGTCCAGGTAGGAAAGCGCGACCTATACCGAGTCGAGAGCAACGGGCACAACATGCACATAACGTATTCCAGGTTTGTACAGTGCTCCACCATAAGGTGCACTTACTAGTTTTGAGAAACTTTCTTTCAAATTCAACGTTTGAATTCTAATTATGAAGGGGAAACCAAAAACAAAAAACTTTTAACGCTATTCACTCGAAGGTATCAGAGCTCGATTAAGATATTTTTCTGCTGAAAATCCGATGTTAATTTTGTTAGATAGAACGTGCTCGATGTACCTAATGTTCTCAAACTTTGATAAACTGCAGAAAAAAAAAGCTTTTTAGAAATTCGATATTGGAAAACGAGGACGAATTTCAAAGGACGATTTCATTACAGTATGCAAAACTGATCAGCAAATAATTGAATCTATGTCTGCATTGTATACAATATTACCGGGCTAATACACGTTATTACATATACACTGTATTAATTTATTATTACTAATGTGAATCAAAACCATCACTAAAGGGTAACAACTTCCAGCAGAATTAGTGTAACCAACCAAGCTGTGTACAAATAAAGAATACTATTAGTATAGGATGAGATGGAATATAATAGGTTCATAAAAATGACTGGAACATATAAAAACATGATGTTAGCTGAGAACGTCACGTACACGTATAATTAAAAACAGATACAATTTGGGCCAATTTCGTTTATACACAAAATTGCACCCTTTTCCTTGCCGGCCTGGATGCTTAATTCTGGGAGATTAGGCTAGGTGATAATAGGAGAAGTAACGTGTAACGAAACGATTACAAACCACG